AGGAACACAAGCAGGGGGAGTGGGAGAGGGAGAAGCAGGCTTCCCGCCGAGCAGGGAGCCCGATGTGGGACTTGATCCCAGGACCCTGGGACCATGACCTGAGCCGAAGGCAGACGCTTAACGACTGAGCCACCCAGGCACCCGCATAACGACACCTTTAAAAAATATTTAAGGTGCACTATTTTATGTGTTTACTTATAAAAGCTCTCGTTCCATAAAGGCATTGATGGAGCTCCCCGTCTTCTTTATTCTCAAGTTGAACTAGATAGAACCCATACCCTAAAAAAGAACCTAAGAAATCCAATCTACCTCCCCACACAGATTAAAATCTACACTTTAAATAAAACGAACTGCACTGTTTTAAATTCTACGAATAATCTTCATAAAATAAAAAGGCTCTTCTAAAGCATTCTTCTTGAGGATCATACTAAATAGTGTTTCTTACACAGATGGAATACTGTTACCAAATAGCTGCCAGGAAGGAGGAGGGAGGGGGGGCGGGAGAGAGGAGAGTTGGGGAGATAGACAGAGGTAGAAAAAAGACATGTTTCTTATTGTTTCTATTTTTGAGAAAGCCAGGAGAGACCCAACGCAATGTGTCCCATTATTCGTCAGCCAACTTTGCCCTTTCCTGAATTAGCTGGTTATGACAGGAAAGTCCAAGTAATTTTCTCAGCTTTCCACATTATTTTATAGGGATAGAAATGTACCCTTACAAGGTCAGGACATGAATTTTCAGGGGCTCATACACAGTTTTCAAAATGATAATCACTGGAGAGTGTCAGAATGTGGTTTTTAAATGTCTGACATTTGTTTCACTATATGAATACAAAATACCAGATAAATACCAATAAAATTGGGGATTAAGAAGTACAAACTTCTAGTTATAAAATAAGTAAGCCACGGAGATGAAAAGTACGGCAGAGGGAACATAGTCAATAGTACTTTAATAATGTTGTGCGGTGACAGATGGTGACCGCACTTCTCATGGTGAGCACCGAGTGACGTACAGAACTGTTGAACCACCATCTTACATACCTGAAACTAATATAACACTGTATGTCAACTATGCTTCAATAATTAAATAAGAAGAAATTAAAATTTTAAAAATTAAAAAAAAAATACATACCTGCCGGCTGGCGTCCTTAGGTCCTAACTGAAGTGCCCAAGCCGAGACAACATTAAAGCCTTTGACAATCAGGGAATCCGGAAATAATGAAGCCAAATATTCAGCATTGGATTCTGGGTATTGGTTTATCCTCATATTATTGCTCACATCAATCAGGATTTTACCCACAAGCAGGTGTCTCAGGTCCCAAAGGGAGGTGTAATGTTCTCTATGTATAGCAACAAATATTATATTTGTTTTTGTGAGAGCATCTTCATGATGAGTGACATCAACCACATGAGGGAAAAATTCGGAAGCAAACTTGGGATTTCTACTTCCTATAACCACATGATAGCCACACCTAATAAGTCGAATCGTTAGCGATTTGGCAAAATCCCCACTTCCAATTACACCCACAGTGACCTTCCTTGCATCTTTGATACCATTTATGCCATTCGGCAAAAAAGTTTCGCTAAGGTTCTTAGGGCTTCCCATCATAGAGATCGATTCCATGATACGGGCTCTTTCAAGATCACCAGAGAAATCCTAGGGGAGAGAAAATAAAATCATCAATTACCTATTACCAAGCATTCATCCACTTCCAGACATTATAATAACACCCCTCATTTCTAGAGGTAAAATATTTTGGCAAGCTATAAAAACCTTGAACCCAGCCAGACATAACTTGTAAGCTAACAAAGGATGTCAGAGTAGAAAAATGAACTGTCACAAAGTTGATATCCTAAAGTGGGGCTTCTAAAATTTTAATGTGCACATGAATCACCCGAGAATCTTGTTAAAATGCAGATTCTGATTCAGTAGGTCGGGAGTGAGGCCCGACAGTCTTCCTTTCCAACAAGGTCGTGCCAACGGCTGCTGGTCTCCTGACCTCTCTTCGAGAAGCAGAGCACAAAAGGCAAGAGACTCAAGTTTTCGCCTAGAATTTTTTAAAAAACACAGTTCTACCAAGTGATTACCCAGATCAGAGGCAGCCAGTCAGAAATGCCATTAGAGGTGGCGGGGACTGCGCTAGCATGTGAGGGTATACATGACAAGAGAAGACAGAAAAGCCACCAAAAAACCCTATTTAAAACTGGCTAGAATCATTCGGGGTGGAGTCCATAAATTATCCTAAATACCTCAATAGCTAATGAATGACCTTATTATTAAATGACAGTAAGATAGACCAGTTAATAAAAAATGAACCCCTCCCCGGCATTTAAATAATATTTTAAGAAAAACAGACTTTAAAATATAACAGAGGATTAATTAAATACCACTGACTTCTATCATTCATGATAGAAGGGATATTTCTCAAGAAATGATATTTCTTGAGAAAGTTCTCCAATGAAAATGGGATTAGCAATGTTTTTATGGTCTTAAATTACACAATACTTATGAAATCTTTTTCTTCCCCTTTTATTTGTTGGCTTCATAGAATACGATGCAGTTATTTTTCCTGAAAAAATCTGTCAAATTCTCTTTTACTTAAGTGACTAACATCGGAAATGTTGATATTTGTAATAACTTGCTCAAGAAAACACATCAGATGGCCATGAATCAGTGTCGCTATTGGATCTGAACAAAAAATACTCTTCCGTTCCATCCCCATTGTACAATTTCTTTTATGCTTACAGCAGATGTGGGTCACCACAGAGGATTTAATGGATTTTACAGGAACAGGTAGAATGCTTCAAAAAACATGTTTTGGGGTTTTTTTACGAAAGTTAGAATTTAGACTAGACACAGAAAAACTCAACTTTTTACCCTACAAATGGATCACAATGATCACAATGACTCCAAAAAACCTGTAAGTTCATCTTTAGAAAAACAATAATATTACCTAATACTCATAAAGCACATTCTATGTACCAGCTGTTTGTGCTGTTTGTGTTAACAGACAACCCCACGACCGCTCTATGAGATAGGTGCTAATATTGTCATGCCCATTTAGAAGATGAGGAAACTGAGGCAAGCAGAAGGTAATTAATTAATATGTCCAAGGTGATGAGTGCGAAAGTCGGGGAGCCAGGATTAGAGCCCAGGCAGTCCAGCTAAGGCACGTGTCACTTTGGTGCAGGTACAGAATTTAAGGGCTTTTTCTTTAGGGGGGTGGGGGGACAAGCTGGAACAGTGATGGTTGTGCTCAGGTTAGTATATTCTCCTTCTCTGACCGTGGTTCACTCCTCAGCATTAGCTAGTGATCTTAATGTCTAACTCGGATCCTGGGAAAGGAGAAAACGCACTATTTTTGAATCTATTACACGTTGCATTTCACACTTTTCAAGACAGAAGGGGTGGTAATTATCTGCTCCCCATGCACTCAGAAGGCCAGGCAGAGGTCAGAGGCGCTGGAGTAATACAAAACATCAACATCCTCTTGGAGAGATCATGGGCTATCTTAGGAATCAAGAGGAGTTAAAGGAACCAGAAGTCATTAAATCAGTGCTCATTTCATTCAACGATCCAAGGTGACCTGGCCAACGTACCCCTAATCATATATGTTGCCTAAGGGGGAAAAGAGTTACTAGACTCACACACAGGAACCCAAGTGTCCTGCCTATATCCCAGTCCCGAGTTCTGAGTAGAGATTGTGGCATCTCCCAAATTGCCCCACTGGCTTTCAAACACACAAGCAAGAGCATGAAGCTTGCTGACTCTGCCTGGTGCTCTGGGAGTCACAGAGGATCCCATCACTTGAGTAAGTGGAGAGGCAGAATTGTAGTCTCAGAGCTACTAAAGCAGTGGTTCTCAGCTCTAGCTGCACACTGCAATGACCCAAGGAGCTTTAAAACACAGTGATACCTAGTCACCTCCATCCAGATTTGTGTTTAATTGCTCTGGAGTCCAGCTTGGGCATCAGGATTTTTTTTTTTAAGATCATCGGGTGTTCTAACGTGGCCACGTTTGAAAACAACTCTACTAAACGATTCAGGATTCAAGCCAATATTTAGTTTGGTATTTGGAAATAACAAATGTGGCATTTTGATCCTCATTTATGCTCATTTTTGCATTGTTGTTTGTAATAATGAAAAATAACACTAGCCAGAGAGTAACAGTTGCCCCGAATGCGGGAAGCTGAGGAACGTGTGCTGCCCCGCCCCTTCTCCTCCTCTGGCAGGAGCAGTGTCAGAAGGACCACTCACTATTTTGCAATATCCCTTTCTCCGCTTTCTGGAAAGGTCAGTACCACTCCTTAAAATGTGTCATCCCACTGCACAGCATACTTTGTTCCTGTTGTTTCATAACATTCAGAATGGTCATAACATCCCAGAATGGTCCAGCAATGGTATCTTTTCTTTCTGTCTCACAAGGGACTCCAGCTCTCCAGGCATCAGAGGCCCTGCTGATTGGAGTGGATGGGTTTCCAAGTGGACTGTCTTGCTCTAGAATGCTGCCTACCAAATTTCCATGTGAATATGAGATCTTGTTAAAATGCACATTCTGATTCTCTACGTCTGGCGTGAGGCTCAAGATACTGTTTCTCCCAAGCTCCCAGGTGATGCCCCTGGTCCTAGTGGTTCATGGGCCACACTTTGACTAGCAAGGCCCCAGAGTCTCTCTACCTTTTCATTTAATGCTATTCCCAGGTAATACAGACGAAAGAATTGAGAAGACTATGACATTGAGGGGAAGTTTTGTTTTTGAGGTATTGAGGAGGAAGGACAGGCTGAGGCTTCTGAAATCTTGTTTTCTGAGTCTGTTTCCTCTGTCACATGGGAAACAAAGAGGTTGTACTTGACGCCTGCAGTCCAATACTAAAACCCTTTTGTTTCCAAGTCTTAAAGCTATATAATAATAGTAATATCACTTTATATTTAACACTGTGACACTTCAACTTTATGAGCTTAATTTAAAAGTGTATTTAAGTAGCACATGGGTTCCTTGAAATTTCAAGGTCACAGTTTTCTTGAATGGCCATCTGACCTGCTGTTTGCATTTAATACTTCAAGTATTAAATCATCAGGGTCAAAGAACTGGATTATACTCAGCTACATGGCCTCCTAAGATTTTGTTTAGAAGGGTTTCCTTGACATTCCTCTGGCTGAATGGCAGCTGTTATGCTATATAAATAGAACCTAATTTGTTTCACATATAAACATCTAGGGCATTAATTTGTCCTCAGAGATCTGGATGACATCTACAACCTGATGATTTAGATAGGTTATCAAGAAACTGTAATCCCCCAGAGCCACAAGGATGGGGTAGGTGTATTTTTGACTTTGCAAGGCCACATCTGAACCTTTCTTCTCCTTTCCTACGGACACTCAGCTCCTTTGAGGCTCGTGGCACCTCGTAAAACCTCCCTTTAAGCACTGTTGTCCTCTACAGACTTCTAGCTTACTCTATCACTAGTGACTTTGACAAACATAGTCTTACACACATAGTCTTCCTCTCTGGGCCAACCAACAGTTGTCATCCTTCTCCAGGATGTCTTCATTCAAATGGATAAGGCGTTTAACCTCATGGCCTCTTGTTTCCATCAGTCATTCATCAAAAACAATGAATCTCTGCTCCACCCCACTCAGTCATTCACTTTCTGACATCTCCAAACACCATCTCGGAGCCTTCCAATAATCTTAGTCAAAGAGTTGCAGTGATAATTCAAGTCGGCCGAAGAAAGCTGATGCACTGATCCACTCTTTTCTCACTCTCCATCAGCCTCCTCCTGGTTTCTCTTTACCCACCCTAGATTCCACAGCATATAGTTATGGTCACTTGCTTAAAAAGATCAACTCTTGTTAAGGACTAAATGCTTGTGTTCCCACCCCCACCCCCCACCGCCTGCCACCTTGAATTCTTATACTGAAATCCTAACTCCCAATGGAAAGTATTAGAAAGTGTGGATTTTGGAAGGCGATTAGGTCATGAGGGTAGAACTCTCTTGAATGGAATTAGTGCCCTTATAAAATAGACCTTAGAGAGCTCTTTCTCTCTTTCTCCCAAGTGAGGACAGCAAGATGATAGTCTATGAACCAGGATATGGGTCCCCACCAGACACTGAATCAGCCCTGTAAATAAGATGCAATAAATATTCTTTGTTGTTGAATGTATCAAAAAAATGTGAGGACCAAAAGACATGTAATAGGTCTACAGGTAAGATCCCTCTCTTTGCTGATCAAGACATGGCAGGCCAAAGTAAGTGATATGTCAATGTCATGGTTACTGGCTGAGCACTGAATAAACGCCTCTCCTGATGTCCTGATTGTGTCCTTTTTGGAAACTGCAGTCCTACTCTTTCCAACTTCTGAGGTACCCTCTTTCTCACCTTTCTTACTCATTTATGATCCTTTCTTTAAAATTGTATTTGCCTTCATCTGTGCTACATTTTCAGTATTAAAATATAATTACACTCATTCACTACAAGTATATTTCCCATGTCACCAGTAAAACAAGAAGTGGCTTGAATACAGCTTTTAATTTCCTTTTTGTACAATTAGCTCAATTTATCATTGTTTATACTGTCTCAACCCCCCCCCCCGCCAAAAAAAAGACTGACTAGCTAAATGAAAGAAACCGCAAACCATTTCTAAATAGCCTGCAAAATATCTAGGATGGGTATTGTTCTTCTGTAAATAGCTTTTAAGCTTGGAAACAAGAGAGGGAGAGATGCAAGGTAAAAAAAATACAGACTCACCAAAAGAAAAAAAATAAACAAAGGAGATCAACACAACCAAAAAATAATAAAAGTGGAAAGACTGTGTGGGGGGTGGGGCCGGGCAGGGAGGCCTGGAGGAGGTGTTTTGGAGAGAATTTTAAGGGTCCCCAGGAGTGGGGCTGTTACTGGACTCAGTCTTAATCCTGAGGGTGGGGGAAGGGGCAGGAGTTCAAATTCTACTTCTCCCAATTTCACCCACCACAGTGATGAGTGATAATTAACCATGGCCCGGAATAAGTTTTTCCATCTAAAAAACGAACTGCCTGAGGAGTAAAAACTGACACCAATCCTTCTCCAAGGGGTGGGGAAGATAATAAACGGAAATCTCTGGACAAAATTTTATCTCTCTGCTCTATTTTAAGAGCAAGATTTTTAGGGCATAATTTTCAACAAGTTTTGGCTGTGGCTGAACACGGGGCACAAAGATAATTTAGGACACTTCAAAGAAGAGGCCAATTACCTCCTAACACATAATGGCCTTAACACACCAGGGTCGCATAATTGGCTAATAAACAAAATGACTACTAGAAATACTTTTTCGCAAAGCAGCGCTGCATGATATTCTGTGAGGTGCGCTGCCTGAACCCAAAGTGGTAGCTAGACTATTAGGAAGGCGAAGGTAACCTGCCCGTCCTTTTCCTGTGGGGCACATCCTACCTGGGACGGTGTCTCTCCTGGCCTCCGTTCTCCTGGGCCCAGCCTCAGGACTTTCTGGGGAGCTCGCGGAAGACCAAGAGGAGTAGAAGGCGCAATCGGTGGAACAGACACCCTTCCCCCGCCTTCCCACTCCCCACCTCCCGGTGCCTGGAGATGAGGACGGACGCCCGCAGAGGGCGCGGAATCCGGGGAGGACCCAGGCAGCGTGTGGCGACGACTGCATCTTGACCCTCAACCCCGCCGCCGCCACCTGGTCTCGCGCTGCTCCCCGACCCGCTCACCTCTGCGCCCCCCACGCCGGGCTGGGGCGAGCCTGGCGGCTCTCCGGGCGCAGCGCCCACTCCCCCAGGGGCCCGCCGGGGCACCAGGGCCTAGGGACCGCGCCTCCGTCGGGCGGCTGCAGGGTGGCTGCCGCGGCTGTCGAGCTCCGGCTGCTTCCCCGCCTCCCCAAGCTGGATCGCGTATTGCGGGAGAGGAGGAGGAGGAGGAGGAGGAGGAGGGAGGCGCGCGGAGGCCGGCCTCGCAGTGACGCGCCGCTAGGGGCTGCGCGCAGGGAGGGCGCGGAGCCCCGAGCGGGCCCGGGAACGCCGACCGGAGGGCCGCGCGGGTGGAGGTGGGGAGCGGTGCGGCGCCCGGGAGCTCGGAGGGGCCCGGGAGGGGGGGCGCAGAGAGAGCTGGGGGAGGACCGTGAGTGCCTACCCGGGCAAGCAGTGCCGCGGGGAGCTCGGCTGCTTCGCCCCAGCTTTGAGTATTCCCCGGCCTGGGAGCTGCGGAGTATTCGCCGCTTGCCTGCGCCCCGCGCCCCGCCTTCAGTCTCCGCAAGGCTCCCCCGTGGTTCCTTTTGAAGCAGCTCTAGAAAAATCAAGCCCACTTCTCTACTCCACTGCTTTTGTGCTGCGTAGTCGCCTTTCCACTCTACACTTGGCTTTTTATTACGCCGTGCCCCATCCCCTCCCCGATCCCTCTTCCATACTCTCAGCTCCTGACAAGTCTCCAAGAAACTGCGCTTTTTTTTTCCTCTACGTGTTCTTTTCCTCACCTCTACCCACCCAAACCATCTTTTGTCTGGATTGTGTCTTTGTAATAAAATGTTTAGAAATGCCCTTTCATGAACCATATTTTAAAACTCCCTCAGGTAGAAGGATCCTCACAGCCAGCGGACTGCAGATTAGTCTGTTGACTTTGACCTTCACTCTAGCCGGTGCCAAGCTAGCTCCGGAGTTGGGGAACAGAGAGTTAGACCGGGAGTCAGGAGAACTGTGTTCCTGGGAAAGCCACTTCACTCTCAGGGCCACAATGGCCTTGAATGCCCAGGGGATCTCTGAGCTTTAAGGGCTCTGGCTTTGGGATTCTGTAAATTTTCTCCCTGCAGATTACCAAGTAGTCATGACTCCTTTATGTTTTGCAAGAGATCTTTAATCTCACAATGAAAATCAATTTAGGAAAATTCTCAAATTTGGGTAAAATTTTTTATACGTTAGTAAATTCTCATTTCAGCAAATTAAGTTTAAAAATTATCTCTCCCTGGTGGTTTATTAACCAGGAAAAAAAGCCGAGAAGGGGGTCTTGGATCGATCATTGGACAACTGCACTTTCCCCTCTGTAGTCCACTCAGATTAACCTTTGCAAATGCTGCTTTGGAAATACATTCTTTGTTTGACTTGACATTTGCCCCCTCCCCCACCGCCAAATATTAAGGTTTCAAATTTAGGCATAAGCTAAGCTTGTAGTGATGTTGAAGTATTGACAGCTGGTGAAATTCTTTCCATTTTGGTAACTGGAGAAAAAATAGTTAAATTTTATACCAATTTTTATTTTTTTTCCTTCAATACTACTCTCAAATAATGAAATTAGCTTTTTTTTTTTTTAGCACATCTGGAGGACAAGTAGAGGAAATTCATGAGTCTTAGTAGTTAATGAAAAGTATGCAGCTTTCTCATTTTTTTAAACAATACTATTATATAACTTTCACAAAAGGTTATTTAAAAATATAGCACTTTCTAACTATCCTAAAACTTTAACATGTAAACCATTTATTTTATTTTAAATTATTATTATTTATTTTTAAAGATTTTATTTTTTTCAGTAATCTCTACCCACAACTTGGGGCTCCAACTCAGGACCCAGAGATAAAGAGTTGCATGCTTTATGACTAAGCCAGCCAGGTGCCCTTAAACTGTATATTTTAGATTTTTTTTTTTTAAGATTTTATTTATTTAATTAATTGACACAGAGAGACAGCGAGAGAGGGAACACAAGCAGAGGGAGTGGGAGAGGGTGAGGGAGAAGCAGGCTTCCTGCTGAGCAGGAAGCCTGATGCAGGGCTTGATCCCAGGACCCTGGGATCATGACCTGAGCCGAAGGCAGTTGCTTAACCAACTGAGCCACGCAGGTGCCCCTATTTTAGATATTTTTAAAAGCTATCTTAACAGTGGACTATCCCCCTCCACCAAAGCAAAAAAACAAAAAAGTTCTATACAAAATCACTTAAAAGAGAATCAGTCAATAATTTGCAATTTCCAGAAGGAATATCTGCTTTTCATATTTGAACTATTAAAAGAAACAAATATCCTTGATGGAAAAATCTCATGTTGCCAAATGTGTCCCCAAAATTGTTGGCATGGATGCACACATGATTCCTTTCAGCTTATTCCAAGGTAACTGAAATTTTTACTACTGTTCTTGAGTTGGAGTTTTTAGAGTATAAAAATGATTTTTGCAAGATTTTTCCAGGTCATGATGTGCTCTCTGAGAAATCTCTACAGTTCCCTGAAGTAGTAACTGATTCCACTGAAGTGAAGCAGTAATTTCATTAAATGGATCTCTAGTGGCCTAGAGGTGTTAACACATTTTTTTTCTTTGAAGTTAGTTATTATACAATTGAGTAACTTTAGAATGGTAGTTCCCAAAGTGTGTAACTTAAGCACTAGTCCCTGAAGATGCTCCTCCAATAATTCATTCACTACAAAAATATTTATTGAGCTCCTACTATATCCCCTGGCTGGGGCACTAGAAACAATGGTGAAGAACACAGATACATTTATCCTGTTAGAATTTATAGTTTTAATAATAAAAAAAAAGAATTTATAGTTTTAAACACTAAACAAATCACTAAACAAATGCAAATAAGATTTATACAAATTTGCTTATGCACGTAAAATAAGTATAAATCATGATGAAAATAACAGACTTTGAGATAAATAATAAGAACTTTTTTCATTTTAGAGCTTCATGATGAATATTAATGGATTAGAGCCTCAGAGTTTCTACCATAAAGACATTTACCTAATCTATTCCCCCAAATTCCCATATTTGTTTTGAGCACTGAAATTTTGTGAAGAATGCTTATTCATAAAATAGAACCATTTTTTCTGAAACTGGTTTTTTGAAACCAAGGGATCCAATTTGTCAAAGCACATTCATATATTTTAATAGATTCATAAATATACATATAATCTGTTCAAAATAGGTTTTGTTTGAAGACAGATGACATAGAAACATTTATAAGTATATTCATATATTTTAATAGATTTATAAGAATAGATATATTTTTATGGATATCGTCTGAAGAAAAAAATGACAGAAATACTTATAAATCTATTAAAGTATATGAATGTGCATTTGTATAAGATAGGTATTTTGTAGTTAACATTGTTTCATGAATATATTTCCATGGTCTAGATACTTATAATTCTTAATTACTACATGGTCCATAATATTGAAATACAGTCATTTTGTATCCTAAGCTTTAGGAAAATAATTTTATGATGCTTTTACTAGTATAACTAACACTGCTTTAGTTTCTTTGAACAATTTACTTTTCGGGGTAATAAGTGGAGGGAATATTTCTTTATTAAACATTTAAAATGTGTATTTATTTATTTGTGTATTTATTTATTTATGTATTTATTTATTTTTTGATGTAGTGTTCCATGATTCATTGTTTGCATATAACACCCAGTGCTCCATTCAATACGTGCCCTCTTTAATACCCATCACCAGGCTAACCCATCTAAAATGTGTATTTTTTTAATGTGTATTTTTTAAAAAGATTTTAAAGTAATCTCTGCCCCCAATGTGGGGCTTGAACTTACAACCCCAAGATCAAGAGTCGCATGCTCTACTGACTGAGCGTGCCAGGCACCCCTAAAAATGTGTATTTTTTAAAAAATGATAAAAACTTCAGTGCAAGCAGATTTGATTCTGGATCTCATGGATGACCACCTTATAACTGAGTATAACCATGCAATTTCTGAGCCCATGTTTTCTGCATTTATTATTGCATTGGTGTCTAGCAATATCACCCTGTCAAACCTTACTGAGAACTCTTACAGCTGAACAAAAAAAGGACAAAAAATCCAATTATAAAATGGATGAAGGATTTCAATACATACTTCTCCGAAGAAGATATGCAAATGGCCAATAAGATCATGGAAAGATGCTCAACATCATTAGCCCTTAGAGAAATGCAAATCAAAACCATGTGAGATATCATTTCACATCCACTAGGATGGGTATAATTAAAAAGTCAGTATCACAATATCAAGTGTTGGTGAGGAAGTGGAGAATTTAGAACCCTCTTACATTGCTGTTGGAAATGTAAAATGATGCAGTTACTTTGGAAAACAGTTTGACAGCTCAACGTCATGATGTTGAAAACATGTCTACAGAAACACTTGCACGAGGGACGCCTGGGTGGCTCAGTCGGTTAAGCGTCTGCCTTCAGCTCAGGTCATGATCCCAGGGCCCTGGGATCGAGGCCCACATCGGGCTCTCTGCTCAACGTGAAGCCTGCTTCTCCCTCTCCCACTGCTTGCAGCTCCGCCTGCTTGTGCTTTCTCACTCTCTCTGTCTGTAAATAAATAAATAAAGCCATTAAAAAAGAAAAGAAACACTTGCATGCAAATGTTTATTGCAGCAATTTGTAATAGCTCAAAAGTAGAAACAACCCAATTACCAGTTCTTTAAATTAAGGAATGTATAAATGAAAGGTAGTCTATCCATATAAGGAATATGATTCCCATGTTATTATAAAAAGGAATGAAGTACTGATACAGACAACACGGATGAATCTTGAAAAAGTATGCTAAATGAAAGCTGCCAAACACAAAAGCCCATATATTTTATGATTCTATTACATAAGATGTCCAGAATAGGCAAACCCATACAGACTGAAAATAAATTAGGAGTTGCCAAACCACTGCCTGGTGGGGAGGAGAATGGGGAATTGCTGCTAATTGGGGGGAGGGGTTCTTTTGATGTGATGAAAATATGCTGGAATTAGGTAGTAGTGATGGTCGTACAACTTTGTGAATATACTAAAAACCACTGCGTTGCACACTTTAAAAGAGTGGACTTTACGGTATGTGAATTATATCTCAAT